TAAGTAAGGAGGGGGGTATTAGAAAAAAAAAAAAAAAAAAAAAGACCAGAGTGGGTGAGAGAGTGTCTCTGCTGAAGAGTGAAGCTTGCTCCCAAGGGCAGTAGAGGCTTGGGGCCTGGCCTTTGGCAAAGTCTTCACTTTAGTCCTGAGGAGCTTCAGGCCCCTGCCCAGAGATACCCACCTCAGAAAATGATACCCTCACTCCCCTTTGCTCCGAGTCCTTATTCGAGTCCCCTTGAATGGGCTCAGAGCCACAGCCTTACCGCAGCCATCTTCCTTTAGCGGAGGAGAAATGGGCACAGAAACATTCTCTGCTCACTGAGTGTCTGCCCCAGGCCAAGCACTGTGCTGAGAGCAGCATCCAGGTCACCTCCTTCCACCCTCCCCATCACCGGGCCTCTACGACTCCTGTTTTACTAATGAGGAAATGGAGGCCTAGGCTGTGAAGGAGGTGTCCAGATCAGACAACTCATCTTTGACAGATCTGGGGTTCAAACAGGCAGGCAGGTTCCATCGTCCTTACTCTTAGACCTGGACTTCTGTGAAGTGACGGCCCTGAGAGCAGTAACAGTGGAGAAGCCCAGGTCATGCGGGCAGAGCCTGGCTGCAGCTGAGGCTCATGAGTCTACACTGCTGGACCTCTTCTGGCTAGACATGGAGGAGGCACGAGGCCAGCACACCTGTCTGGAGAGCCTCAGGGTTCTCGGGAAAACTCAAGCTCATCCCCACATGCTACCAGCAGGGTATTTCCTGCTGTTCCTCTATGAAGTGGGCAGGAGCCCTGAGACACATAGGTTCAAGCCCAGCTCCCCAGCCTAGTAATGGGATGATTTCAGGCAACTCTGTTAAACCCTGTGTTAACCTCTCTAGGTCTCCGTTTCCTCGTGAGTAAAACAAGTATTAGATTCCTCTTCCTGCCTTTCCCAAGAGTTTCTGCAATGCTGAAATGAGAGGCTGGATGGGAAGGTGAGCCATAAACCATAAAGTACGATCCTTCTTGCTACTCGGTGTGCTCCCTGGGCCATGAGCATCGGCATCTTCAGAGAGGGCGTGTAGTGCCCCAGCCCTCACCCATCTGCTGACGCCCAGTCTGCAGGACACGCCCCCCAACCCGGTTTGTCTGCTCATTGCGGGGTCCTTGGGCACAGGAGGCTGGAAGAAGAGACCCCCAGATTGGTCGTGAGGAATAGGTCTGACAGACCTGGGAGGCTGGAGAAGCTCTATGAGTCAGAAGGCCCAGGAGGCCCCTGCTCAGGGTGTGTCCACATTCCAGGCAGTGACAGTGACGTGTGCTGGCAGGAGAGGCCTGCGACCCAGACTCTGCACCTTCTGCCTGTACCTTCCACACATCGGCTTGGCTTGTTGTCTGCTCTTCAGCCTGGTTTCTCACCTGCAGAAGGAGCCCCTATCCCTGCCAGCCTGTGCTGAGGCTCGAACTCCATAGCACAGTGGGAATGATGTATAAAACCCTGTGCAGCTGCAGGGAGAGCACAGCAGTACAGGGCCGCCATGGCAGGTCTGTAGAGGAGGGACGTGAGAGAGTTGGGCTCAATGTGTGGAGTTGGGGGATGGCCTGGATTACTCCAAGTGCACCAATTCCATGACCACATAATGCCACTAGTCCCATGCCATACAGTCCAACCAACCTACCCTTCTTCAAATACACAGCCAGAGAATCTTGATCGCGGTTCCTCACTTTCACCTGGCACCAAAGGCTTCCAAAGCTGGTGACCTTCAGGTTTCCCAGTGTGCTTTGCTCCTGGAGATGGAAAGAGGCTGCATCACCATCCCCTGCTGCTTAATATCTGGACACAACACATTTCTCAAACTGCAGCCATGGTCAGGAACCTGGGCTGAGCAGCTTCCTGTGGTACTCCTTCCATTGGAGCAGATGGACATGCGAACCACCATTTCCAGCTCAGAGGATGAGCTGCAAAGATACATGGAACTAGATAGGGGTGACTGATTTTATAAAGAAGGGAGCTAAAGAAAACATGAATCCAGGTAAAGTTCTGGTTTACATGGGCATCTTGAGAGGCAGGCCCTGTGGTGTTTGGACCATGAGTTATGAGGGGGAGAAAGGGGAGAAGAGAGAGGCCAGGAGCCAGCTCCCAGGAGACCTGGTAGTTTCTATCCAGCAAGGATGGGGAAGGTTCCTCATCTGGGAACATGTGGTCAGACTTTACAGATCACGCCAATCTCAGTTATCTCTGATCTCCACGGCTGGCTTCCTTTTAGCAATTTTGCTGTGTAGATGGGGTAGGATAAATTTGGCCAGATCAATTTGTGTTTTGTTCCCAGTATTTTTTCCCTTCCCTGTCAAGGTTGCCAGACTTCATTTCTTGAGAGAATTTCTGGAGAGCAGAGGCCAAAGCAAATGCTACTTGAAGGCGACAGCTCTCCTTCCTTCTAGGAAGCCAGAATTCACTGGAGAAATAATGGCCCAGGAAAGGGAAGAAGGACCTTAAAGAGCAAAATGAGTCTCCCGTAGACCTGAAAAGATTCAAACCAGGACTCCATAAGAACAGGTGCCTCCCTGCTTCTGTGATGAGCCCTGGTGAAGAACTGGGATGGTCAGGCCCTAGTGGGTAGGATCCAGGAGGATAAACCAAACATGTTAGAGCTCCTTCCTTGGCAGAGTCACCAAGCCCCAAGCCTGGCCTTGAAGCAGCAGAGCTGGGAGGGCTGTGTGCCTCAGCCCTGGGCAGTAGGAACCAACCATGGATAACCAGGGGCCAAGCCTCTATTCTCTCCCATGAATAAGGACCACACTGAGACCCAGAGCCTTGGTGAAGAGCCTTAGTAATGCTTGAGATAGATTTTCTGCTGGCCTGATTGGGTGGGGGCAGGGGAAATATTAACAGCAATGTCAGCATTTATAATAATAGTCACTGAGCATGCAATCTGCAGCAGAAACTGTCCTGTTCTGGGAAATTTTCCAGGAAGGGCTTTATCCAAACCTCACAACTACCCTATGATGTAGGTACCATTATTATCCCCAGATTATGAGAGAATTCTGAAGGACAAATGTCCTAAATAGTAGCAAGTAAGTAACTGATCTGGGATTTGAACTCAAGGCCACTCCCTGCCACTTCTCCGTATCTTGTAGGTACAGAACCCCAGTTGACCAGTCTTAAAATTCAGGGGTTCACCCTCCATGGCCCTTTCTGGATGTCTCCAGTGAATCACTCTCACATATAGGCACATGAAAAGGGGCCCGCAGCAGAGCTGTCTCATGGTGTTGCAGAACTGTCAGGAACCTACAAATCCTCTCCGAGGGGAGGTGAAGCAACTGTACACACCCATAGACTGGATCCCATGTTGCCACAGAAAAGAATGTGGGAATTTCTAAGACACAGATGCAGAAAGATACATAGAAAATCAAGGTAGAAAAGAACACATATTGTAAAATACTAGATCAGACAAACAACATGGTTATGAATACATAGAAGGATCCATAAGAAACCAGAGCGAGAAAGGAGATAGGCATGGGCTTAGGATTCAGAAAATTAGGAGACAAGAGACTCGTACTTTTCACTGAATTCCTTCCTATCCGACTTCTGGTGCCACATAAAATTGCTAATATTCTACTCACTTTGACTTACAGATACAGTGATTTCATGGGGTTCTAATATATATTGAACTTTTTTAAAAAATTCTTAAACCAAAACCATGTTTTACTACTCACTGGAAAGGAATGCAGGGCTCTGGGACCCCGAGGGTTGGATGGTAATTCAGCTCTGGACAATGACCCTCCTTCATTCCCCAGAGTCCAAGCTGTCAATGAGGCTAAGTGGTGGGGGACAGGAAGAGGAACAGGTGGGGTCAAGTAAAGGTTATCTGCTACCTGATGCATCAGGAAACAGCACTGCTCCTCAGGGCAGTGTCATCCTGAGGCCGTCTCTGGCCTGTTGCAGCTTCAGTTTCCCAAAGTCATCACTTTGAAAACATGAAGGCAACAAGCTACCAGCTAGCGACAACCTCGTCCCATCCCCTACTCAGTCTGGTGTGATTCAGAGCACATTTGACATAAAATGGGCAGGAGTCAGAATGTCCCATGGTCACTGTGCCTCACCTGACCGGAAGTTGTGCAGGCAAAGTGGTCACTTGTCCAAGCATAGAAATCACATGAGACCCCTGATCCTGCCGTGGACACTGCAAAGAAACTGCAGGCCTCGTCTTCTGCACAACCTGCAAGCACCACAAGATAGTTACCCTCCTGGCTCACAGGTGACGCTGAGGGTGGGACAGACACAAACCCAACCCCTGCCCCTCATGTCCCAATACACATGCACGCACACAAATGCACACAACTCTCACACACACAAACACACACATATACATACAAACACATGCATACCAAACACACACATAAACACACCCAAATACATGGGAAAACACATATGTAATATGTAATACACATACAAACATACTGTATACATACTCATACACACAAGTACACACACATACAAAGCCAAATGAGCACACACAAATAAACACACACACACAAATACACATGCAAACAGTCACAAATACACACACAGGAGACTTTTGTTGAGCACACATTAAGAGTGTAGGCTGTGGTAAGTGCTTTCTGTGCTATCAAATCATTGCTCCCCCACTGCAGAGATGAGAGAACTTAAACACGGCTCACCTCAGTCACTTATGCAAAGCCACTAGGCCACCAACCGGGAGAGCCAGGATTCAAAGCTATGTAGCAGGTTGCAGAGCTGTGCAGTCACCAAGCTGATGCTGCCTGAGTTTAACCTGTCTCATGTGTAAATGGCTTCTACTCTATGAGGACCATGTCCAGGTATTTGGTGAGATCACCACTTTGTTCACAGTTATGTTTCATTTCCACCAGGGAGCTGATGGCTTCACGAGGGGATTTAATGACACGATGGACTCCCCATGTCTTTCAATGAGTGCCCTCTCGTGATGAGAGGTGGACACACACTGAGTGCAGGGACCACAACTGTGATTTGTTCAGGTTGTGTGACAGGCATGAGGCATACTTCTCAGCACACAAAAGCCTCCAAAATATTAAATAAATAAAGTCATGATTATTAAAACTAATAAGGACCTATTCAGCTGTGTAGTATTCATGAATAACGATAGCAACTAATGGCTCATCTGTGATGGAAGGTTCTAGTAGAAAATGTAAGCTGACCAAGAAGAACAACTCACACTAACATAGTTGTCATAGGAGAGCACTTCACATAAGGCCATGTGACTGGCTGGTGGTAGAGCAGCCTTCTAAGGTTTTTGCACACCGATTCCTGAGCCTCTCCACTACATTTTTCTAACTGAAGAGCAAAGTAAGGCACTCATATCTAGTACCTGAGATATTTCATTTCTCCCTAACAGGACATCTCACCAACTACAGCTCCACTAAGATTGAATCTTAGGTGCCATGGTGGTCTTCTGGGGGCTTTCATCACTCCTGCTTCTCATTTCAGCACTGTGTGGCCACAATGCCCTCAGGAATGAGGCACCACTGAGAGGTTAACAGTGTCATTTAACCCACAAATGGCTGGGTCCATTTAGAACTCAAAGAAAATAATTTCTGTTGACCTATATGGCTCCCACCCCTAAAACCCTCCTGTCTCCTCAACTGAACTAACTTGATCCTCATTGCCAGCAGATCCCTGGTTTAGGCTTAGGGGTAATACACTGAAGAAAGCAATAAAAGTTCCAGGTGAGCCTTAGAACAACCAGCACTCTTGACTGGTGGGTCAAATGCTGACTGAGAACCAGGGCTCCTGCCATGGCCCCAACCACATTGTGACCTCATGCTCCCACTAAACCAAAGACCCTTCTAGTCCACTATGCTGTTTAATACTCTAGATGTTGGTTCTTGTTCCAGTCTCTCCTCCTTACCAACAACTACATTCATTCCTCCCACTGCTATAGTGGTTAATTTTCCTATCTTTTAAATGGTCCTTTGACCCTACTATAAAAAATACTTCTTGATATTTAAGGGCAGAATTATGTCCCCTTCCCAAATTTTATATGTTCAAGTCTAAATCCTCAACATCTCATAATGTGACTGTATTTGCACAGGGTCTTTAAAGAGGTGACAAAGTGCAAAAGAAGGCAATTAGAATGGGCCTAAATACAATATGATCCATGTCCCTATTAGAAAAGGAGATGAGGACTCAGACACATCATGGAGACTACGCAATGACACGGGATGAAGATGACCATCCACAAGTCAAGGAGAGAGGTCTCTTTGGAGAAACCAACCCTGCTGACCCCTGATCTCAGACTCCCAATCTCCACACCTGTGAGAAAATGTCTGCTGTTAAGTCAGCCAGTCTGTAGTACTTTGTTACAACAACCTGAGCAGGCCAACATGATGCTGAATTCCTGGATCCCCACCTGATCCACAATGATGGCCTGTCCTCGACTGTCCTGCTCCTGTTTGTCTGAAAGGATGCCATCTTGCTAGACTTCCTGACATGCCTGTTGTCTTTCACCATAGATTGGATGCCAAGTTTGATGCAGTCCATTAAACCATCCCCTGCTGTTAATCGACAGGCCTCTTCTCTACACTTACTTTATCTCCTAAGATTCTGCATCCTCCTTTTCTTTACAGCCAATCCATTTGTCCTTCTAACCCAAGCTGTGTCACAATATCTGTGTGCACACAAACCGATGAATGGATTGGAAAAGTGTGGTATATATACTCTATGGAATACTACTCAGCCATAAAAAATAACAAGACCCTGGAATTTGATAGAAAGTGGTCAGATATGGAGGATCTATTGCTGAGTGAACTAAGCCAGACTATGAAAGAAAGATATTGCATGTATCCACTCAATATATACCAACTATCTGCACTCTATGATAGAAAGCAAAAAATTGGAGGATATAAAAGCAGTGAAGGTACTTAAAGAGAATAGGACAGTGTGGAATGGAGGAAGTGAAGAGAAGAGGATAGAGAAAGATAGCAAGTGAACAATAGAGAGGCAGGACGTTAGTGAGAAACAGATATGGCTTATTAACTGTTGATGATGACATGTATAGTATTCTCAACTGGATTGTTCTGAGAAGTATTTCATGATGGGCAAAGTATTTTTACAAGCAAAATGAGAAATAGCGATTGACTGTTTTAAAAAATAATTAGGATAATAATAAACATAGAAAAGATATTGAATGTTGAAGTGGGGAGATTAATGTCTTTGTACTGACTGACATGCATGGCATTCCCTTTTGAAAAAGCAATGTAATACACTGTAAAGTTATATGTAATCCAATGTAATATAAAGAAGATTATGATGATAATAAAAAAATTAAAAAAAACAATATCTGTGTGCACATTGGGTGTGTGTATGACTATTGTCAAGACAAATAGTTGCCATAGCTACCCATCAATTCTGCTGTCTCAGTGCTGGTTCTTTAGGTCTACTCTGTTGATCTCTTGGTTCTGGCCCTCTAGCTCCTGTGAATATCAATTATTATCAATTATTCTCCTCAGCTCTTTCTTCATGTCATACACTGTGCTTGTGACACAAACGGTAGCACATGCTCATTGTAACCAACCAGACATCCAAAACAGATCTGTGCTTAGTTTGAATTACCTAACAACTGAACCACATGTGGTTCCCAAGGGAGGCATTATACAGTGGTTAAGACCGTAGGTTTTGACATCCATTAGTCTGGCTTGAATTTCAGTTCTCTCACTCAGTAGCTCTGTGTCAATGACTGAGTCACTTAAACTCTCAAAGCCTTATTTTCCTCATCTGCCCCTTGCATTAAAAATGACTACTTTACAGATGGTTAAGATAAGCCTTGTAAAGATCCATGCTCAGTAAATGGTAGCTATCATTATCCAGTTCTCTGAACTCACTGTTCAGAGAACATAAGGATAATACCCAACCTGGACAAATATGACAAACTGATTTTGTTTGTTTTTTCTCTCTAATATTTAGCACAGTTCTTAGCATATAGTAGAGACATTTGAAAGTGTGCAATAAAGTTATGAATTAAAACATTGTAGAAATCAATTGATTTACAGTATTTCTGATAAAGTACATTTTTTTCATCACAGTGTTAGTGGTTTGATTCTGTGTGTCTCAACAATATTGCAGAACACTTTTCATTTCAGTCTCTGTGTGCCGATCTTCCCACCAGCCCTTACCTGCTAGACACTGCATCAGCGAGGATTCAGAACCAGGGACTTTGGACTTGACCATCACAGAAACATCTGCATTGAAGATCACCTTTGATTCTGGAACCTTCTCAAACTTCTGCATCACTGAAAATAACGCAGATTTATAAAATCTGACTCTAATGGGTGTAGGAAATCTTCAGAGAAGCAAGAAAAGGTATTTGATCAAGAGACCACTTCCATTGAAAGCCCTTGGTCACACACATGTCCTAAGGAGAACCACCTCCTTTTAAGGTAGCTCTAGCACACTCACATGTGTCCACTACTGAGAGCTATAACTTACACTGTCTCTTGTTTTCTACCTTGTTGTCAAAAAGGAAGAGAAATGTCAATATTATGTTAGTCCTTATAACTCATTTCTTCTTGTTGGTATTGACTTTTCTACCTAAATTTCTATTTTCTTCCCCTTAGTTTTTGAGTGCTAATTGCATTATTTATTGGGTCATTGGAAAAATCATGTTTTTCTATGTAAAAATGCATCATGACTTTTCCAATGACCCAATAGTTATTTTATTGAAAAATTTATTGCCACGAAAGACTTGAATTCTTCCTGTGAAACAAGCTAGGCTATGAAAGAGAGACATTGTATGTCTCCACTTAATATATACTTATGTCTGCACTCTATGGCAGAAATTGAAGGATTAGAGAATATAGAAGCATGGAAAATGGTTATGGATAATGGAGACAGTGTGGGAATAGGGCAGGAAATAAAGGAGAGTGAGAAGAAAGGAATCCAGGAGAAGAATAGAGAGGCAAGACATTTATGGGACATAGAAATGGAGGATTGTCTGTTGATGATAACATGTATGATATCTTTAATTGGACTGGTGTGCAGTGTATTTGTGCTGGGTAAATTCATTTTATAAGTGGTAGTGATGAAGAGTGATTGTGTAAAATAAATTATAATAATAATTTTAAAAAGACAAATAAGGGAACTAGCAGTTAGCGTAATGGCTGTGTCGCTGGACTCCCATGTAGTCGACTGTGGTTTGCGCCCTGGACCCGGTGGCTTAAAACCCACGCTGGGCGCATGTGCGTGTGTGCCCAGGATCCCGAGAGGAGAATGGAGAAGGGATTGCGGCATGGCCATCCCCCTGGGGAGTGATTTCTCGCTTTCTGTCTCTCTGTCTCTCTCTGTGTCTGGCGAGCGCACGCGCCCTATAGTGAAAAACCCTCTCAAAAAAAAAAAAAAAAAGACAAATAAAACAAGGCAAATGGGTCCACGTAGTTGAAAATGTGTCATGTGGCTTGGGCTTTTTTAGGCTAGTATTTATTTAAGTGATATAATAGTACAAGGTTTTCTTTTATTTCTTTATTCCGGAGAGGTTTTTTTGCTATAGGGCACGTGCGCTCTCCAGAAAGACAGAGACAGAAAGTGAGAAATCACCTCCCTGGGGGGGAGGGGGTGATGGCCATGCCACAATCCCTTTTCCTCCATTCTTCTCTTGGGATCTTGGGCACGCATGCATACACACCCGGTGTGAGTTTAAGCCACCGGGTCCAGGATTCAAACTGCAGTCGACTACATGGGAATCCAGCAACATAACCATTACACTAACTGCTAGTCCCGTAGTACATGTTTTTCTAGGTACTGTCAATATAGTTAAACTCCACTTGGTAGACATAACATGGCCACAGGCTCATGGACCTTAACAAGTGAAGAGGAAGAAATATAATTTCACAAGGCTTTGGAGCACCCACTGGCTAAATACCCTAACTCCATATTCTATGCTAGATTAACTCTGTGAGTAAACAAATGCAATATAGAGAAGTGTGTTTACTACAGGAGACAGAGAAGATCAGGGGAGCTGCAGCAGGAGGGATTTAAGATAAGAAGACAATAGACCACATGAGAAAGGGCACTGACCACAGAGTCAGTCTTCAGTTCAAGTCCTGAGGCCACCACTCCTCACCAGTGCTATGTTCTTGGACATATCTCAACCTCGGTCTTTGTTTCCTAATTATGAGCATTAAATAAAATAGCATGGAAAACTGGTTCACAATAATAACTCAGTAAATATCTGGTCCATTTGCCCCCATGCAAGGACACCCTACCTAAGAATCAAAGCTTACAAATTTGACCATAGGAATTCAGGTGGGATTTCCTTCCCTGATGACCTTAAGGAAATAGCTTCAAAGAAGCCCAGACATACAGAGTAATTTGCTCATCTGCCAACATGCATTTACAACTCTGAACAGAACAAGAAATAAAAGAGAGTTCTAGCCCCAATGGAATGTGCGGTCTACTGGAGCTAGACCCCAGAGAGACTGAGCTCTCACACTTTTATTTGATCCCACAAACAGCGCAGATCCTTGAAGAATTTAAGGGGCACCACATAAACAGATTTCACTTTTAAAATTTTGTGCTGAAGCCATCATAGAAAAATTGTTGACTAGAACAGGAAGATGAGTTAGGAGGGTGTTAAGTGTGATCCATGTGGATAATAATAACATTGTCCTGGTCAAAGAAGTGAGAGTAGGGGCAAAATTGTCTCAGGCAGTATCTGTTTGGAGAGGTATATAGTTGGCCTCTAAGTCCTTTGCTTTTTATGAGGGACAAAAGCCCCAGAAGTGAGGCTGTAATTCCACTCTCAAAGAGATAATTCCTCTCCAAGGCAAGTAGAGGGATTCGGAGAAGGGACATACTGACATCCCAGAGCGGGTCAGCTTATTAACATGGAAATCCCCCTGCACATCTAGAAAGGAGGACTTGAGCTCAGAGCTTTGCATAAGAAGCAAAGATGCAGAGGATCATCTAGGGCTATTTATAAGCTGCACCCCAGGGAAACATCATCAAAGTTGTCCAAGCTGAGCTGTGACTCTTGAATACTTCTGGTGCCACTGATTAAACTGTCTTTTCCACTCTGAATGCAGGGCAGAACGAGACATGACATGCCTCACAGACTGCATATTACAATCCTCAGTGTCAGGCTATTGACAGGGATGTGCAGAGGACTCAGAGCACATAGGTAATGATCTCAGAATGGCATGCCATCCCCCCGCCCCCAGAGCCATCAGCCAAGCTTCCTCTCCTCTGTGGACTCCCCTCCTTTGTTCATGAAGTACTTACCTACTTCTCTTCAAGCACCTTTCAGCTCTAACTCCTCTGATAGTAATTCCTACCCAATGGGGTATTAAGAGGGAAAAAATAATAAAACCTGATTGGACCTGCAATTTATCCATGGACATACAAAAGAGAAGTCCCCAGGATTTGGTAGCTTTCGACTAGACAAAGGAAATGATTGCTCTGAGGATTAGAAAGTGAAAATTTCTCACTCGGGTTTCCTCTGGTATTTTATGTCATTAGCTATACCAACTTCCCTAGAGGAAAGGCAGGCTATGGATGTGTGTGTGTGTGTGTGTGTGTGTGTGTGCATGTATGCCTTGTGCATACGCACACATATATATGTAAGAATGTGTGCATTTAGTGCAGAAGCAGATGAATCTCGGTAGAAGCATAGATAGTGTAATGGAAAACAGAGCTTTGGGAGTCAGACATAATCACACGATAGTTCAAATTCTCCATATGCTATATCCTAACTATGGGAATGAAGATAAGCACTTGAGCATTCTTTGCTTCCATTTCCTCAGCTAAAATGTCAGCAATAATAATATCCACCCCTTAGGGCTACCATGGCTTTTAAACATGATAAGCATATCAAATGCCTGGCACATAGTCAGTCCCTGTATGTCAGGCCCTATCCTTACATAGAAATGCTTAGAGACGGGCTTACTCTGGTTCCTTGAGAGTGCAAAGATGGGCCAGCCATTGGCATGGTGGTTAAGGCAGCTGGATCCCACATTGCTGACTGTGCAGTTCAAGTACTGGACCCAGTGGCTTGAAAAACACACCAGGTGCATGTGCATGCAAGCCTACAATCCCAAAACAAGAGATGGAAGAGAAGGGATTGCAGTGTGACCATCTCCCAAGGGCAGGAAGTGGGGGTGCTTTCTCACGTTCCTTTCATCTCTCTCTCTGTCTCTTTCTCCCTTGATGTAGATGATGGATATTTGTTTAACCTACTATTTTCCCATTATCTACATAGATTAAAAATTTCAAGGGCCAGCCTGTAGCCTAGTGGTTAAGGAAGCAGATCCCACATGGTTGACCACAGTTCAAATCCCAGTTCTAGCAGCTCGAAAAGCTTGTTGGGTACGTATGTGTGCATGTCCCAAATCCCATGATGGAAAGATAGAGGAAAAGGGATTGAAGCACAATTGTACCCCATTGGAGCATCACTCCCCTCCTCTGGTGAGCACACATGCCTTCTAGCATTAAAAAGCAAAAAGTGGGAGCAGCAGGTGGCAAATGATTACATCACTGGAGTCCCACATAGTCGACTGTGGTTCAAGTCCTGAACATGGCTGCTTAAAACTCATGCTGGGCACGTGTGCGTGCCTGCCCAAAATCCTGAGAAGAAAATGGAAGAGAAGGGATTGCAGCATAGCCATTCCCCCTGGGGATGATGGGGGATTTCTCACTTTCTATCTCCCTGTCTCTCTGGCAAGCACATGAGCCCTATAGCCAAAAATCTCTCTAAATAAAAAACAAAGTAGCCCCTGCATCTCTCCTATTCACAAGCCCTCTTGAGACCACTTCCTGCTCCCCAGGAATATGGCTAAGGTAGCCGCCAGAGCATACTCAGACACTGAGCATCCGTGAGTGGGTCCTCTGTTTCTGACCACAGCAGCCTTTGTCCCTCTCTGTCCACGCAGAAGGCCTTCCCACTGTCCCTGTCCCTCTGGCTGGCTTGATACTGGCCATCCTGGTCACACTGCAGGCCTAGCACATTCCTCTGGCAGTCAGTGACACCTGGAACAGAGAGATGGACAGTAATGAATGACTGGTCTCTGGGACTCCCTCCCCTCAAGACCCTCGGGTCCTTGTCATTGACCAAATGTCCAGGGCACATGTCTGACCCAGACACTCTAGCTTAACACTCTTAGTGTTCCTGCCCTGACCAAACCGCAACACCAACACCAGCTCTCTGTTCAGTTGGTAAGTCCTCTGCCTTCTGCCCATACTCTCGTAAGCCCTTCAGGTACTCCCACTTCCAAACACCATCTGCTACATTCAGTGCCTTTAATGCTCGAGTTCTCTGACACCTTTTGTGCAGACACAGGCTTTGCCCCCAGGTCTGATGGACTAAAAGCTGGTGTCCCTCCAAATTTTCATGGTAACACCTAACTTGCATCATGTTGGTATTTGGAGGTGAGGTTTTCAGGAAACAATTAGGTTCACAGGAAGCCATAAGCTCCCATAGGAACTCCCACGATGGGATTAATGCTCTTATGAAAAGAAGATGGGATAGATCTTTCTCTGCATCTCCCTTTCCCCACACACCAAGCAAAGCCCATGGACGGACGTAACCAGAAAGAGGGTCTTCACCAAGAACCCATCATGCAGACACCCCAGCCTCAGACTTTCAGCCTCTTGCATCATGAGAAATATTAAGCTGTCAAAAAAGTCATGACATATTTTTCTATGCAAAAATGCATCCTGATTTTTTTGAAGACCCAATAAAAGCATCCAAGCCACAGTGCCCTGGAACAGCAGCCTGGACTAAGACATGCTTTAAAACTGCCTTGTGAATGAGTTATCACTGGTCCCTTCTGATAGGTGAAGGAGTCGACATTTAGAGAAGGAAGGTGAACAGCTTCAGTCCTGGTGATGGTAGGAAGAGGCGGCACAGATCCCACCTGGGCTGACCAGTGCAAGCCTCAGTCTCTCCTCTATTTTTGACCATTTATGTCACATCCCTCCACAAACAAGGATCAACGCTCCACATCAATTCCCTTTTAAGGAAGTGCTCCTGTGTTATTCTGTGAGCACTTCAAGCCATTTCCAGTCACAGGTCCTGGGTGTGGACAAGCGGTGTGGACAAGCAGAGGCCAATGTCCAGACATCAAGGGCACTCCATGCTCCTGTAAAGAACTTCTTCTTCA